TTTCGGTGTTCACATGTACATGTAGTCAGAGCCTCAGAGGTGATGCTCATAGAGGCGGGAGCAATTAATCTTCTGTCACAGTGTCAGTATCATTTCTCTTTCTCGGAGATTCAGATGTGATGCCCGTAGAGCAGGCAAGGGGTAATCAATCTTCTGTCAGTATCATTTGTCATTCTCTCTGTTCAGGCCAACAGATGGTTGTTTGGCATGTCACGAGAACAACTTAATTTGTTGGCCTGGTTAGAAAGTTTTACAATTGGCTTCGAGACCTGAACTGCGTCATCGTCAGCAACAGCACACGTGGTTAATAGGTGGTGTCATTGAAGTCATTCTCGTCGAATTTTTCACTGAAACTGCCATATTGCCTTGATTTTTTGCTTCTTTTCTTTTCTGTTTTTTTTTTTTTTTTTTTTTTTTTTTTTTTTTTTTTTTTTTTTTATGAGCTTGCATTGTTTTTTTCCAAAATTTTCCACCACGTTGCTTGCGGCGATGTGCCGAAAAAACACTGGATTTTTGGACTACCATCTCTCAGCAACAGCCAGCTTGAGGTTTCTTTCGGCATGCCTCTCACACGAAGTCGCCATCGTAGCAGCAGCAGCTGTCAGGAAACGGGGGTATAAAATGAAACGTGACAACCTGTTAAATGGCTTGTTGATTACCTCTCCTTCGGGTCATCCGTCAAAATGGATCAATACAGTGAAGAGAAAATTAGCATGGCCCTGCGCTTTCAAGGATGTCATGCAAAAAATTGACAAATGGACCAAGTGGTCCAGTTTTTTTTTTGAGGCAATAACAGGTCTATGATGCGCTGAGATGTTCTGTGCCACACGTGCGCTACACTCATAAAATCCAACGAGTTGCTTGCCTGAAAGGGCCGGGTGACCTTCTCTTTTCTTTAAAACAAAAAAAAAAAGGAAAAAAAAAAGATTCATTGCTTACTGCATTAGAAGATTGGTAAGCTTAGGTACAGAGTAGACTCAGTTGCCAATTGAACGAAAGGACACTTAGGGGGGCATACTCACAGCAGGACTTTTTCTACTAAGCTCTGGACGTGATTGCGGTAGCATACATCGAGGCCGGGCTCCAATTGCAGTCAGATTCATCAAGGAAAGTGCTAGTGTGAGTATGACCTTAGTTCGCAGAAGATTTCTGAAATGTCTGTCTGCGGTGCATCACCATTTTCAGTGTTTCATTTGTCGATAACCGAGGAAAACATGGTAAATCTTTTATTCAAAAAAAAAAAAAAAAAAAAAGAAGGGAAAAACATGGTCAATCAAATGCTAGGAACTGAGAACCACATGCCCGACATCGGAGCGGGTTGGGTCGAGAGCAAAATGTGAAGACACGGACATTTTCCAAAGAAAAAAAAAGGATCATCACTTGGGCTATTTTTCTTACTCTGCAATTTGGGCAGGTCGCAAATAAAAGTAGCAAAATACTAAGAATAATAGTACAATTCAAACCGCCCCTCCCCGAAGGTGCATAGAGTGTGTCAGGGTACCGAGCAAAGGTTTCCCAGCCACTATGCGCCCGCCGGTTGGGAATACTGGCGGGAGGCACAGCACTGCCCTCCACCCCACCCCTAGCACCGCGTCTAGGGTGACAGTAATACAAAGCTGTATCCTTTCTTTCTGCCTATTCTTTCCTCTTGTGGAACATGCTTGCCGGTGAAAAAAGCAACCGGACTGTTTCCCCTCAGAATAGATGGGGCTGAATTGGCTTTTCAAAAAAAAAAAAAAAAAAAAAAAAAAGAACTCCAAACACTCAGCTTCCCTCCAACCGACTTCACCCGACAAGAATGCCTGGTCATTACCGCTGTGTTTGGGGCAACTTGTAGTCCAGACGCAGCGATAATGACCGAGCGTTCTATTCGGGTGAAGATGGCAGTCGCTCGAAGATGGAATAGGAGTCCTGCAAAATCTAGTCAGTAAAGTATTTCACGACGTCTACGAACTTTACGTGCACTTTTCTACAGTTAAGCTCCTTGCCGTAAACCGCAACTACACCGCCCAGGCAAACTTGACAATAAAAAACGAGGCATTCCAAAAAGTTCCGATGAACAGCGCATCCGGACCAAAATGGATGGTGGTGCCAGCCACAAGAAATAGAAAAACACCACGCTGATGTTTTGGCAAAGCTGGCGTGCAGCGGGAATCTGCCTCGGCAAAAACAGGCTCGGATGTACTGGTGGTTTAAATCACCAGTACATGGGCACCTGGGCCGCGGGCCTAAGGCGCGAAACGAAAAATGTGACCGCCGATCGAATTTATCAATGGCGGGCCCAGCGTTTGACGTTTCGAACTTTTTTTCTTGTGGCGACAAGTCTCAGACTGCAAGGATGGGGCCGTGTACTTGTGGTTTAATCCATCCATCCTTCTGGGTGTGCTTTCTATAGCTTATGTGCGCTAGGATGGGCAGCATTTTCAGATAGCAACAACCACACACACACACACACACACACAC